ACAGCCTGAGAGCTGCTGTTCCACACACCATGGAGTCACCAGGGCAGGCCTGATTACCTCAACAAAGTTTACAGTTGTTTTGTTTGGCTCAGATCTCAGCAGGGCCAGTCTGGCTGCTCTCTTTGGTCTCCTCTCCTGCAGAGGTTAACTGCAATAAGGAATGTGCCCAAAGGGAATCAACAGTGTTTCAAAGACGCCCTCTGGTGGGGACTTGAGGGTGCTGCTTATTCCCTCTGCTGATGGGCACTCAGGGGAAGGTCCCAGAGACATCCCAAGCCTGCTTAGGTGTCAAAGACCAGGATGCCATCTACTGCCAGGATGTGGGAGAATTGACCTGTGACAGGCCCGGGAGTTCAGGGCATTTTTTCTAGGCTCCTCAGTGGCAAGGCAGATGCCATTCCAGGAGGTGGAGATGCATGGATAACACTATGGGTCCCCACGAGGATGCTTGGCACTGCCCAGTAGTCCTGGTGTGGTTGGTGGCCTGAGTCATGCTGGTGTTCCTTCGAGTTGCTCACACTTTCCTCATAGACCCACAGGTGGGCTGGGGCCGTGTCTGCAGAAAGGGAATGTGTTCCTGGGTGAGGGGATGTAACCTGGCATAGCTGAGTGCCCGTGAGCCAGGCTTGAGCACGGCCATGTGCAAGGCAGCTTGGTCCACGGACAAGGTACAGCAAGAGCCCCGTGAGCAGCTGTGCCTCCTGGAAAGGCCTCTGGACACCTGGTCAAGACCACAGCAAGGCTGTTTAAATCCATTACTTAGGAGTAACCAGATTCCTAGAGAAGAGGCACCATATCCTTGTCCACCTCTGCTATCACCTTTGGTTACCCCACACTTGGCCACCACTTCCCTGGCCTCTTGCTCCCCAGCTGCACTCCCTTTCCTTCATTTCCCTTTAAAAAAGACAGGAAGAAACCCTCCATTGGCCTCGGCAGGCTCCTGATGATCTGACACTGGGACCCTCCCACAACCCCTCAGCCGGCCACCTCCTGCCTCCCAACTTGCTGAGCCCCTTCTCTCTGGCCTTTACCCCAGCACTTGTTGGCCCACACCTGCGGAGCGTTTCCCCGGTGATGGCCTGCCCCTCTTCAAACACCCTTCTGCTGGGACGGTCAACCCTCCCACCTGACTTGGGAGCAGCTTCGTTCTCCAAGTGATCTGACTATGAGTACATCTGTGTACCCCCTCCCCCATGGTCCCATCTGGCCACTCTCAAGAGACATGGGCAGGATGAGGAACGAAGGTGGATGCCCGAGGTCCCCCGCTGGCAACAACAGGAAGGGCTCGCCATTCACAGGCCTGAAGGGAGAAGAGAAGCAGGATTTTTAGAGATAAGAGATGCCAAGTCCCTCGTAGTGGGCACTGCAACCATGAAGTAGCCTCACTAAGGCCCCGTTCTGACAGCCCACTGCCCCACCACGGTGACTACTTCAGAGGGCCCAGAAAGGCCAAGAAGGACTTGAATGTAGCCTGTCCCACCCTCAGAAGAGCCACAACAGCAGACCAAGTGGCCCAGCACGACCTGTCAAGTCACTGGCTGGCATACATCTGTGCAGACACAGGACGGCCCCAGGAAGGCAGGCTTCAAATAAACAACAGTTCGGCTGTGGAACCTCAGGTGGCCCATGCCATCCATCCACTCCTGGGGAAGAAACCAAGTCAGCACGCAGCGGGGACAGCTTCAGGCCAGCATCTAACTGGGCACAGCCACAGCAGGCAAGCTGTGAAGCCAGTCCCGGCTTCCAACGAGGCGTGGATGAAGATGTGGTATGCACCCAGGGCCTTACCTACCACACTGGTGTCCAACAAGGCATGGATAAAGATGTGGTGTGCACCCAGAGCCTTACCTACCACCTTGGTGTCCAACGAGGCATGGATGAAGATGTGGTGTGCACCCAGAGCCTTACCTACCACCCTGTGTCCAATGAGGCGTGGATGAAAATGTGGTGAGCAACCAGAGCCTAACCTACCACCCTGGCATCTAACAAGGCATGGATGAAGACGTAGTGTGAACCCAGAGCCTTATCCACCACCCTGGTGTCCAACGAGGCGTGGATGAAGATGTGGTGTGCATCCAGAGCCTTACCTACCACCTGGGTCTGCAGGAGAGTGGGTGGGCTGGAGGGGCTCCGGTCAAGCAAACCAGCCAGATTAGAAAGACAAGCATCCCAAGTTTCCTCTCATAAGTGGAATCTAAAACAAGACCCCAAGTAGAAGGGGACTGTTGGGAGGGAAGGGCGGGAAGGACCACAGGGTCAGTCAGAGCATAAAGGCCCAGTTTTGACAGAAGTCATGAGACACGCAAGAGCCTGAGAGCAGGACCCATGCTCAGGACAGAAGCCAGGGCAGGAAAACTGTGCCATGTCCCCAGCTTTTCATGTGATGTCCTAGACATGAACAAAAGATTGTGACAACATTAAACAATTTTCATCAATAACATTTTAAATGATCAGTTCACATTGCCCTGCACAATAATGACAACAGGTAACAGTGTTAGAAGAACAATTTATTAATGGACATACAACAAAATATCTCCCAAAAATCTTTCCAGGAATCATAAGACAGAGGTTGAGTATTTCTTTTAGCTCCTAAGAAATTCTTAAATGTAAACACAAGGTATTTTTTTTAATGATTAAAAAGTTAATCTGCAAATGTATTTTTAAAACTCTGATTCCAAATAGGGACAGGAGACCTAGGCATGTAAATGTGTCCCCTGAAAAGGACTTAAACATCCAAAGTACAAATCAAAGAGCATGTGCACAATCCCAGGAGCCCGCCCGCCACCAGAAGACACGGCCACGGCAGGAGGGAGGCGAGGGCTGAGGCTGCTCAGAGGGACAGGGCATAAGAGTGGAGAGGTGTCCAGGGTGGGCTTGGACACCCCCACACAGGGGTGGCAGCACCTCTAGCCGGGTAGGGTGTCTCTTGCAGCAGCTGCCCCAAGACCAGCACAGAGTAGAGTCAGAATCCCAAGGCACCTGGGTGCTAGGAGGTCTACGGTGAGGAAAGACAGAAGCCAGAGCCTGAGGCTGGACGGTGTGCGTGGGTGAACAGGGAGCTCCCTGCTGGGCAATCAGGGGCAGCACTCACACTTGGTGACAGAATCAGCACGTCTATCTCAGGTCAGACACAACAACACCAAGGGACAGTCAGGGCTCATATGCTCTCAGAGCATGAAGCTGCCCAGACACTGGGCATCTTCATGTGCCCAGGACTGGCTCCTACCTCAATAGCTGTCCATTCACCCACTCAGCCATCCTACTCAAACATTAATAAGCAAGAAAACTGTTTAAGCATCAAAGTTTTAAACAGTTTTCTTTGAAAATTAACTTGGAGAGTTCCACAGACTATCAGGCACTTAAGAGCATTTAAGGCCAGGCGTGGTGACGCACCCCTTTTGATCCCAGCAACTCAGGAGCTAATGCAGGAATGACTGCAAGTTTGAGACCAGCCTCAGCAACTTAACAAGGCCCTATGCAACTTAGCAAGACCCTGACTCAAAATACAAAGGACTGGGGATGTGGCTCAGTGGTAAAGCACCCCTGACACTTTAAGTGTGGGGGGGGAAGGCTCTAAGTGATTTACACATTTATGATTTGTACATTTATATTTATGAGAATTTCTCAATGTCTAGGAATAATCTCTTTTGAGTATTGAGAGTGGCTAAATTTCAGTCACATCACTGTCTTAAATTCAGACACCATCAATACAGTCAGGGAAACACAACCCTTACCTTTAATGAACAAAGAAGAGACCACTGTCTTTACAATGCAGTAACTAATAATTTATTCCTGTGAGTCCTGGAACAGGTAGAAATGAGCTAACTACACAGTCCGACTTTCCTGGAGGGCAGCAGGCATATCACACTCCCCAAGTCAAGACCCACAGAAGGCACCTGAGAGGCAGGAAGGCTCTGATGCCTACATTTGCTGTGGTAACAGCAACTCAGCACACAGCCATTGAAAGATGGCCCCAGATTATGACGCTTCCAATTTCCTTCATGTGGGAATATTTAACATATAAAAATGCGGTAAATGAAGATGTTAATATATTAAGCATTTAAAATTATAGAAATCTTACAAAACAACTCTGTGATAATAAAAATTATTTCTGTAAACAGGACATCAACACATATAGTACAAAAAGCCTCTTAATTAATAAACGTTACCTGGGAGAAGGGGAGAATAATCTAACGCTTCGTAACATGGAGTAACCCTAATTAAACTTGACCTGCATTCTCAACACTGCATATCTTAAGAATTGAAATTGTCAATAATTCCTTATTTCAAGGCCACTGAAGCAAGCATCACACTGTCAACTCTGCGGTGTACCATCTGGAGCCCAAGGCTGTGTGGCCTGCGTCACACCCTTGGGCGCAGGTGTTTTCAGCACACGACGTCCCACTGTGCCTGTCTCCTGGCTTCACCAGGAAGAAGCCAGCACCCAGCACAGTACAGGGTCTGAGAGTCACTCAGAGCAGAGAGGAGGCAGACTTTGTTGAAGACGTGCTCAGTCTCCAAGGATAAACAGCTCCTGGGATGTGGTTGCTATGACAATGTTGTTGCTAGGATAATTCCAAGGATCACAAGCAAAATAATTACACAAATAATAATGAACATCATTTTCTGTAAGATAAAGAAAAACATTAATTTGCAATATATCAAAGAAATCAACAGTGTCATCTCCTAACAAAATCCTGATATTTGGGATAGTTTAAAATAAAAGACCATTATTAAGAATCCCTACAGATCAGAGAAAAGTAGGGAACAAGGAAAACTCCACAGTCAAAGTATTAAGTTGGGGACATGCGCTTATTAGACTAAACCAATTATTAATTTAAAATATGTGCTATTAAAGCAACCATTTGCCTCTGGAGGGGAATGGTGCAGTGCGGCTACCTGTGTGTAATAATAGGTCCTTTCCTTTGATAAATACTTTCCTTTGATTAAAATAAATTCCAGAACTGCTGTTAATTGGATATATCATACATCTTTTTAAAAGCTTGAATCAATTTATTTCTCATTGACTAAAAAAATCCCATTTACCCTGTTTTTCATCTAAGCATGTGCGTGTGTAAGAGATCAACCAGACACTGACTCGGTCCTCCACAGGCGTGGTCTAGACGCAGGGCAGGCACAACACAAGGCACTTTCCTTCTGTGAGCAAGCATCCTCACACAACAAAGTTGAACCACCTATAGGTGGGTCTCCCGCAGAAACCCACCTGAGGGAGAAGCAAAGAGAGGGAGGCCCTGGATTCCAGCCCCAGCACAGGAAAGGATGGAAGCAGGAAATAAGTAAATCCCATCTGCTGAACCTGGGCAGCTCCAAATTAGCAGCAAGCTGAGAGCCGTCAATTATAGCAAGACTCATGAAGCTACCCAAGGCCAGACCCCCAGGCACCTGCAAGGGAGCTCTGGGCCAAGGACCTGTGGACACCAGATCCCTTTGGATTTGGCACCCCCTGTCCGCGGGGTGTGGATTTTCTGACAGTGTTGTGCCTCGTCGTCCCCTACGTCTCACTGTGAGCTCCAGCTGGCACCCTCCTCAAGCACCTCTTGCCCTGGCCTCCCATCCTTCCTCCACAGCCATTTGTCCTGCGCCTCAGGACCTGTGACTGTCTCTGCCTGGAGCTGCCCTGGGAGCCCCCTGCTCTGGCCCTCTCCTGCAATTCTGCAGCTGGTGCCACACAGGTGTGCACTTCCCTGCTACATCTGGCTTGCAAAACGGTGACTTTTAGGGAGCAGAAATTCAGGTGTACGCCTGTACCCCACGTCCATGTATTTAACAGCCATCTCATCTAAGCTGGTGAAGGGCTGGCTCTGCTGCCAATGGTACCTAAACCTCGGGGCCCATCTCTTCCCGTGTAAGGCGAGTGTCTCTTCTGGGCTGCAGAGCTCTCAGGATCAGGCAGCTCCAGAGAGAGACCTGGGCCCTGCCCATCCCACAGGGCAGGCAGGTGGAGTGCCTAGACTCTAGGAAGGCATGGACAGGATTTGCTTGAGGGTGAAAGAAAAAAAGGAAATGCTTTTTTCAAAAGCATAATTAGTGTCATCAATCCACCTTCATGTCCAAAACTACGTACATGAAGGAGGTCAGTTTGTGCTCCTTCTTACTTATAGGCACCGGGCAAAATGGCCAGCTGGCCTGAGGTACAGGTTCAGCCCCACTCCCAGGGGGGCCACGCCAAAAGAACCTTCTTTTACTCAATAACAACACTCAGAAGCATCCATGAAAAGCAGTACATCTCAGTGGGCCCAAACAAGAAACTGCAACTTTAGCACAAACACATTCAACTATCAAGGGGCTAAAAAAGTACAGCTCATATTTTAGAATTATGAAGCTATTAAAAATACCATTATTTTAACATATGCCATTTTTCAACAAAGCCAAGAGGAAAGCATTAGGAAAGAAAGACACACAGAAACAGGCCGAGTCCTCCCACATCTAGAGAACAAATGCTGGCAAGAGCAGCAGCCAGCGCACACTGAGGGACACTCAGCAGGGCCTCTGGGCCTGCGCACCTGTCAGATCCAGACTGCAAAAGCTTCTCATCCTCTCACTGCAGCACTCCCAGAAAGCAGACCTCAGGGCCGCAGTGCCAAGTGAGGGCCCCGGCTCGGACCCCAGCACCACCAGGGGGAAACAAGCAAGGAGTCAGACTGACAAGCAGGAGGGAACTGGGCAGGACAGGATCCCTTTCTGCCCTGACCTTAAACAAACAGAAACAAGACACCAAGAGACCAAGCATCTGAGCCACCTTCCCGTTCCCAGCACCGCATCCCCATGCCCGGCGCCCTGACGCTCCAGTCATAGTCACCGAGCTCTCGCAGAGGAGTGAGTGATGGGAATGCCCAGGCTAACACACCAGGCAGGAAGGGGAACTCTAAGTGCAGAAGGAGCCCTGCACACAGAGCCTGCAGGCACGGGGAAGGAACTCAGTGAACAAGACGATGGCACTTTGGGGAAACCAGATCTCTACACTGACTCCTTGAAGAATGGCCATGCGTGTGACTCAACTCCTGCAGCTCCAACAGAGACCTGGAAACACACCTGCTGTGTGGAGAGGCTGGTGGAGGACCACTTCCAGTCAATGTTCTCCTAACTCCAGCTCCAACCTCCAATCCCACAATAAAATGAGTTTGTGTGTCTGACAAAGTGATTTTCAGTTGTTGACGTTATTCTAAAAGTAATGACTTAGGAGCTAGATTACAACGTTAAATGTTAGTTCTTAATGGAGGGTCATCTTCATTGGCACAGCTGTGGCCTTCACTGAAGGCCCCTGAGTTGGAGTGAGAGGTCCCAGCACCACAGGAAGCGGACCTGCATGGGCCTGGGCAGCTGCCCACATGCACATGGTGGCAGTGCTCAGGGCCGGGCGGTGGCAATCCCTGAGCAAGGGAGGGAAGGAGGAGTCAGTGGGTTAGTTACTTACTGCTGCCCTGTCGGGGGCAAGCGCCAGCATCAGCCACACCGTCACTTGCCAACTGATAAGCCAATGATTAGAGCAAGTATGGCGACCACAGCCACTGCCACAGCAGCAATTATCCACTTTTTCTGTCAAAGAAAAGCGACTGGTTATCCCATGGTTGGCTGCACATCTCCACATTAAAGATGCATGTTCCTGGAGACAGGATGGTCCTCAGAACTAATCTTATACTCTGTGTTGCAGGACATCGGCTGACTCCTGCCAGGTAATTTTCGGTTCTCGAGAGTGACGTGATTTACAAGATCAGGCTGCACAGAGACCAAATGATCAGTCACTCGAGGACACTGGGTGCCTCGATGGGGTGCCGCATAACCCCATAGCTTCTGTACATTTCTGACAGACAGAAGTAGGTGATTTTCTGTGTGTACAAAGCCACACAGCCAGTCCCAGGCACTGGGAACAGGCACCCTGCCTGGGAAGCCCTGCCTTGTCTTGCCTGTGTTGTAGGCAGTACGTCATCGCTGCTCCCAACACACCACAGGGACATGACCATCCACGGACACTGCCTAAGCTCGGGCACTGTGCAGCCCCCAGGGTAGCCCTGGATGTCAGCAGAGGACACGCTCAGCAGCAGGCAGGACAGAGCAGAGCATGGAGCAGCTGGGGGTGAAGGCAGCAGGCTGGGCAGCTTTGGCTATCAGGCGTTTCAGCCAACAAACAGGGGTGATGTCGGAGCCATGCCTGGCACACAGGTAACCTGCTGAGCCCAGGCAGCACACAATCCGGCTTCTCCGCAGCGTGAGGAAGCGTGTGCCACATCCCCACCCTTCCTCTCTGTGAGCCAAGCTGCCCACGGACACCTCCCTGAAGGGGCAGGCTCAAGTCATGGAGACAGGGAGGAAAGTCAAGGTCGACTGTGTGCCCAGAACTAGCGGGGCACTTCATACCTGGACATCCCCCTCAGTCCATGTTAAGAGTCAGTGTCTTAAAGAAGGGTGACACAGAACAATGTGGGCAACCACACCTTACACTTCGAATCTAAGGAACACACTCAGCCAAGCCGGCAGGGGTGCCAGGCTATGCCTCTGCGGTTGCCTCTGTGCACACTCCAGTCGACCCCACTGAAGAGAGCCTCTGTGGACAGCCCACGGAGATGCCCCAGCCCACACTGAGCACATGGCCTCTGAGGGCGAGTGGAACTGAGAAGCCAAACAGCCCTCCGAGAAGATGAGCGTGACAAACATCCCACGCAGACTGGTGCTCCATGCTGGGAGAGGGACAGGCAGCCTGGGCACCACACACCACAGTGCTGGGAAAGAAACGAGCAGCCCGGCCAGCACACACCACGGGCGGTTCCTAGACCAGTTTCGGGGTTCCTTGGAAGAGCTTGTGAACTATACATGAGGTGACACTTCTAAGATTCAGGTAAAGATGTCGAAACTCACTGACAAGCTTACATGCTCCTCAGCATCTGTCTGAATGCAGCCAAATGTGGAAATCCATACCCACTTGAGGGGCAGGCCTGCAGAGCCCTGAGCTGGCTAGCAGCTTTCAACTATGCTCTGGGAACACCCATCCCAGGCAAGAGGGCACCTGTCTTTGAGAAAAGACAGGTTCTTTCCTCCAACCAATTATCAAATAATCTGAGTGAGGAATAAATGTTTACTGCATAAAACATGTAACCAACGACTCCCAAACTCCCAATCCCATCAGTTAGCTCCCTTCAAATAACACCTGGGAAACAGAACTCAGGGACTGAAGCCTGTGCTCCCTGCCACGGGTCAGTGGTGGCTCCATCCAGTGAGGAGCTCCTGTAACTGAGAACACGCGTGGCCCATACTCCACTTACCTGCTGTGCTTTAAGACTGTGCTAATGATCACCAACTTTCAACCAGATATCTAGGTAAGGGATTGTGCTCCTGGCTCCCTCTCCAGCAGACTTACATGACTGCATCCCAACTTGAACCCAAGCCAGAGAGAGCCACCTCAGTGGTCAGAGACCGAACTCACCCTTCTGGCTTTGCTGTGGTATTTAAGGGCTTTCTTGGTCTCCTCTTTAGCATGTTCCACATAGTCTGCAGCATTCGTCACGTTTTTCTCTATGTTGTTGATCATTTCACCCTTAAAACACAAAATTTCAACCTTAGAAGACGTTTTCAAAATGACTCACCTATGTGTCTTCAGAGAGCCACCAAACAGTCTTGACACAGACACGATGTGCATGAGATGGACGTCACGTCTGCGTATGTAAGGAAAGTGAGAGGGAGGACACCGTGAATATGCAAAGCAAAGCCATCCCAACTGGATCGCATTCAAAACCAACCAAGGGAGCAGCAGAGCTGGCGACCAAGGCACGGGCAGGCACTAGGCAGGCCCGGCAGTGAGCCCCACAGACAGCAGGATGGGAGGGGGAGCTCTGGGTCACACAATGCTTTACCACTAGCCTAACAGTCCACACAAGGCCAGCAGCTTTCCAATAGGCGGGAGCCCACTGCTAGTCCTTGGAAACACCAGGAAGCTAACCACAGCTGTGTCTGACATTCTTGACTGAATGAATGAACACACACACAGCCCGACCCCTTCGGGGCCACACAGGCCAGGGGGATGCGTTACCTGGGTGCTGTCCTCCAGGAGACACCCTGCAGCAGAGACGAGCCAAGTGCTGAGGAGGAGGGAAGGCAACTCACCACCCACACGTCAGCCCCCAGAAGCCCTGAGGTGCACTGGGACTGGAGCACACAGCACAGCTCCGACAGCCCCATGGGGCGAGAAGCTCTCCTAGCGGTGCGCGAGGCGCTGCGCCCGCACAGGACAGTGACAGTGACAGCCTGGGGTGTCCCGGAGTATCTACAGCTATAAAGATTAAACTACTGTTCTTACTGTATCATGTACTCCCTGAAATAAGACCCCAGCCGCCACCAGACCCCTCTCTAGTTCTTGAGCCCTGTCTGAGTGGCAAAGGGTCCACCCCAAATCAGAAGGGTACCTCTGCCCACCCATCCCTGGCTGTGGGTTTCTTGTGGCAAATGCACGGTACTGCAGTTTTCCACACAACTTTTTATGATAAAACTCCTCAAAATAAACAGGGCTCTTTAAAAGGCTGGTGAGGCGCATGGGAATGACCTGTGTGTGTGAATGGTTCCCCACCCCGTCTTGGCAATCCAGGTGGTCACGGAAATGACCCAGTGTCAGCCTTCTTGGAAGCATGCATCCTCCAAAACACTCTCAGTAAGGGAGAAGAAGCTGCTCAGAAGGGCTGGTGGAAGGCTCCAGCCTCACCTGGGGGCAACTGCCCTAGGCAGGGCTCTGAAGGCCACTGGGCAGTCCAGACTCATCCCAGGCACATGGCTACACGGAGTTCACCTGCTATGATGGCACTTCTCTCCAGTGCTCCCAGGGGGTCTCCCCACCCTCCTCTGCTCTCTGCCTGCACGCAGGGCAGACCAAATGCTGTGGGTACAAGCCTATCTGCACCGTGGCCTGTGTGCCCCTGATGCTTACTCCTGCAGACACTCCCCATGGTCACTGGGATGTGGCTCTCAGAGGAGACTTGAAAGTCTATGTGTTCAGAGAGGAGAATCCACATCCCTGGAGCTCACAATTTAATCAGACTGGTATATTTCCTTCCTTTGGAAACACTGTTCTATGTAGCTGTGTTCATGCCATATGTGTTTATATAAAAATTTATATTTACACATATAAATGGATATATACATAAAAATTTAGTATTTACCTTAATTTTTCTAAATTTTACAAAAACATCTGCATATTTCATTAAAAATTCTCCACAAGCAGAAAGTCTCTGTTGCCTCCGGCTGTCTAAACGGCTGTATGGGACACGAGCACACCATAACTCAATTTACTAGACAAGCTCCCTGCTGTTGGAACCTTGAGCTGTACCCAGCATTTCAGCATAACACTTTTTTTATTTTTTTAGTTGTTGATGGGCCTTTATTTTATGTATGTATATATGATGCTGAAAATTGAACCCAGTGCCTCACCCATGCTAGGCAAGCTCTCTACCTCTGAGCCCCAGCCCCGGCCCCAGCCCTCAGTCACACTTAACACTATAATTAACTTTTGAATTTTGAGATTAGCTCCAAAATCATGTCTGTTCTGCATAAGAGTGGGCTCAAAGGTGAGACCTAGCAAGAGGCACCTGGTTAAAGAAGGTGCCAGATTACCTGGGTCTCCACAAACATGGCCATATCCATAAACATTTCGTGCAGCTCCCGGATGCTGGTCTCCAGCTTCATGATGTCCTTGTGGCGTGACTCAATCTCATTCAGAGCTTGTCTAGTAATTTGTGAATCTGATATAATCTTTAAAAACAAAAATAAGAATATGAATGAGCTCCCAACTAGTCTGGAAGTCACAGAGAGGAAAACCTATGTGGGTAAGGATGGGGGCAGCTGCCGGACTCACATCCGAGGTGAAGATGGACGGCTTTCCACTCTCCAGCATCTCCTCCAGCTCCTCGTCTGTGGTGGTCCTCCCGGCTGAGAGGTGACAATGGAGACCACGCTCAGGGTGTGGCGTCACTCAGAGACAAGGCTTTCAGCCTAAAGTCTAAACCCTGACTGAGGCACCAATGCTTTGGACAGCTTTTCTACCTCCCCATGCACCTTCCTAGGCAGCTGTTAACAATGCCACCTGGAGAATCAGAAGCATGGGGCAGCTGTGTCAGGGTGGGGTCATGCAGCCGCCTGTCCTGCCACACAGCACTAAGTCCTGTGGAGAGGACAGCAGGGGTTCCTACAAAGGGGGCGGAGCTAGCGCAGCAGGTCAAATGGAGGAGCAAACTGTGAGAGGCCCATCTCCCATCCACAGGGTGGGAGGGGCTCCAGGACAGAAATACTTAAACACATAATGAGTGAAGTTTCCGAATTAGATTAAAACTTTCGACTGGGGCTATAGCTCTGGCAGAGTGCTTGCCTAGCATGCGTGAGGCACTTGGTTTGATCCTCAGCACCACATAAAAATAAACAAATAAAATAAAGGCATTCTGTCAATCTATAACTAGATTAAAACTTTCAAAATTTCAATAATCAGAAAATAAAATACACTTGCTTAGAATTTTTTTGGTGTAAATAAATGACAGGTTTGATTGATTCAAGGTCCAAGAAGCGCGAGGAGAGGCCTTTAGTTTTTATGACATTGGTGACAACAGAGATGGAATTAGTAGTTTGGAGTGAAAGTACTTTGCAGTGAGGCCTCAAGGAAAGAGGAGGGGTTTTTTTTTTCTTTTGTAGTGCTGGGGCTTGAACCCAGGGCCTTGTGCATGCAAGGCAGGCTCTCTACCAGCTAAGCTATGCCTCGAGCCCAAGGAAGCATTTTCAACAGTTTTTCTTACTCACTTATTTCCAACTGGCGCTGAATGCGTCCTTTGCTTCGCTCCCGAAACAAAGTCTGAGCTTCGTTGTACTCTGTCATGACTTCCACAAATTTTCTAGACAGTACAGAATGCTAACATAAAAAAGAAATCAATGAACATACAATTAATATATAAAATGATTAAAATTAACATATAGCATATAATAAAACCATTATTCTATTAAATGGTCTGTGAAAACCTTATAGTTCAGAAACTCATACTATTTATGCTACTCCTTCAAACGGTAAGTAAGAATAGCCAAGCGGTGCCCTGTAACAGAACCTATGCAAGCACCACGTACACCACCCTAACTTTCATAAACAACTCCACTGTCCACACGTGTCCACCGTGCTTCACAGAGGTTACGACTCCCAGTCACAAGCCTTACTAATGCAGAGCAAGGCTGAGGGCAAGCAGGCTGGCCAGAGCTCATGAGCTGCAGCACCACTGTAGGGAGGGCTCTGCACTCTGGTTCCTCTCTGAATAGCATGGATCCACTGAAGCCAAGACCACACCACTGACAGAGCTCTGCTCACAGAAGAGAAGCCCACTAAGGGCTGAAAACACTTCTCCATACGGAAAAGATGTCATCAATAAATGACACTACAGTTTCACACAAAAATGTCTTGAGGATAAACACGACAGTAAAGACAGAATTAGTTTGAATTTGAAAGTAAAATGACTTACTCTAGGCTGGGCATGGGACTCAGTGGTAGGGAGCTTTCCTGGCATGTGCAAGGTCCTGGGTCCAACCCCCAGTGCCACACACTAAAAGGTTCTACTCTTCACTACTTCAATCTAAGTAAGGCTGAAAATCAAACCTGGGTTTTTCGTATCCGAAGATCCACAGATGTTCGATTCCCACTTTCATCCTGATCAAAACTTTGCTCAATGGCTAGGAACAAACAGGACAGAGTTATTTTTTAAATTTAAAAAACTGAAATATTTTGAGCCTAATCTCAGCTGTTTTTTTCTTACTCTTTGAAACATATCTTCTCTTAAAACTAGAATAGGCTGTCTTTTAAAATAATCCCCTGGAAAGACTGTCCATCAAGAGAGATTGTTTTACTACTCTTAGTAAATATGTATGTGTGGCTATCCATGTGCACAGAAAGACAACCATACATCTCAAAGACAGTTGCCATGGAGTGGGAAGGAGAAATAAGGCTGGAAGAGGCACAGGGGAAGCCAAATTCTTGCATATGTTTTGTTTTATAGATTTTACTTTAGAATGACATAAATACTTCACATAATTATAAAGCAAAATTAAATGTTTTAAAAAGCAATCTCTGGTTGGGCCTGGTGGTGCACACTTATAATCCCACTGACTCAGGAGAATCATGATTTTGAGGCCAGCCTCAACAACTTAGTGAGAACCTAAGCAACTCAGCAAGACCCTTTCTTAAAATAAAAAGTGAAAGGGCTGGGGTTGTGGCTCAGTACCAGAGCACCTGCTTAGCATGTGTGAGGCACTGAGTTCAATCCTTAGCACCACATATAAATAAATAAAATAAAGGTCCATTGACAATTAAAACATTTTTTAATTAAAAATTAAAAATAAAAAGGGCTTGGGATATAGTTCAGTGGTCAAGCACCCAGGGATTCAATCCCCAGTGCCACAAAAAAAAAAAAAAAAAAATTGCAATCTCCAGAATTAAAGGAAAATGAATGAAATAAACCTGACTATAGATCAAGTTATTTAGCGACATCATCACACAGAAAAGACCTATTCAAAGTGACTTAAAACCCAGGAATTTGACTGTATAGCTCATTAAGGTATATGTAGGGACAAACAAGTGACCAAAAAATTAAACCCCTGCCAGGCATGGTGGTATACACCAGAGATCCCAGCTACTTGGGAGGCTGAGGCAGGAGGCTCACAAATGCAAGCCAGCCTCAACAACTTGTGGTATTACCCTGTCTCAAAAATTTTTT